GAGGCGTGCTATGTGTCTTTAACTATCATTTTCAACTATCGGAAATAGTAGTTGTATAGATCTTTGGCAGTCCCTCTCCCAACAACGACCAAATACGACCCCCTCCCACCTTCGCGGTCAAATACGTGCAGTAGGCATTATTGGTTACGATAAGGGCCTGATAACGTGGAGTGTGTGATACAACCGGAGGGAACTGAGGAGCAAGATGACTATGGAAGTGTTTTGAAGTAAAGGCACCGTTGGTTACCCGAAGTATGGCCCTATCAGCTCTTAAGACAGATGGTATATTTTCTTGGCTATTACCTACTGTGCCAGTTGCCTACTGAATGTGACCGTGTACCAAGAAAAGAGAGTAGGTAGAGAAGTACCTTAAGCTTCTCAGTCATAGGAGGTAGTTGTGCTCTTTGACTTGTTCCGCATAAAAGTGCATTTATACTTTGCGTCAGCGGTAAGCGTATGGCAGCAATTTTAGCCCTTTAAAAGTACGCCGCTGCTTTGGGGGTTTTAAGCACGCTTATGCAAAACGTAGACGTTCTTCCACTGTTAGGACTAAAAGTGTACTGTGTCGCATCTTTGTGCTGTCTTGACAACTGCAACGGCTATAGCTGTTAAGCGACAGTGCTCATTTCGGCAGCAAAGCTATGTCCTGCCGCCCTCCTGGCTCGTTAATCGTTCTTTTCCATGTTCATCCTTATGCCTAACTGCGTCGACAACGGGAAAAAATACGAAACAACAGTTTGAAAAGTTTAACTCGTGACAGAAAAAGTGCGTGAATATATGAGGTGGCGCGGGGCAACTGGTTAGGCGCTGTTGCGACTGCCAATTATGACGGCGGGCGCCCCAGCTACCTACTGCCAAGCCGTGTAAGTTGATGATCTGCTTGAAAAAGGATGAACGCATATGGAATTATTGAGCGCGGGGACTGCCTTTGAGCGGTATAACGCCAGGCCCTACTCATTCAAAAAGCGAAGAGAAGTAGCACGAGAGCGTAAGCGAAATCCTTTCACGTCACCTTGCAGTTTGGTCCGTCATTACCACTTCTTCGTCGATTAGACAATCTTCTTACAAGGTCATCGATTCTAGCCGCATGAAAACGTAGAGGGCATTTGTCAAGAATTCTCCGATTCGAACCCCATACAATCGATTCTGCGCGGTTTCATAGATCGTTGGCAGAGCCTTTTGGGAACGATGGTCCTAAAAGGATTTTTCAGCTGGCACCAAAGGGTGACATCTGAGTGAATCACGGAAAGTCCACAATAAGATACCATACTATGAAGCTTTGTTAACCCGAGCAGAAGATCTAACATGAAAATCTTGAACATTATCTACCCGAGAAATTTTTGACAAGTTTGTCAAAATAAATGCTCCCAGGTCATTTCTAAGATTTGTTTCTCTTCTGTAATACAGCAATACTCATCAGATTGTTTCAGGCTGATGTGTATGGTGCTGATAAGACGGAAGTAAACAGTGCAACAAGCGACAGTAACTCTTCAAGTCTCAGAGTGCCACAGAGGCAACTCTCCTTCATGCAAAAGATTCAACACATTGGGGTTTGTGATTTTTTTTTCCAGCAGTTCAATGATTCCAGTGAGCATTTTGTAACATCTGCAGTTGAATATGTTTCCTACCGATACCTTGGCGTTGAAGGAGTTTCATGGACTTGGTTGTGAGCGTCGGCAGTGGAGTGTTGACGCTTCTGGTGGAGAGTAGACTGTTCAACCTCTCTCCTTGAATTGCCCAACTACAACCCCTCCCAACCAAGTCCGTGGACCATTCCTCTTCGGCACAAAATATGGGTCTGTCTGGTTGCGATATCGGCACTGTTTCTGAGTAAAGCAACATGCCAAAATCTCACACTAGAATAAATGATATTTACATTATTTACTACTATTCAGTTATTTGGTTTTTCAGCCTCTTGTTCATTTGATGGTACCGCTGGCGCTGGTATACGTCGGAGAGTATTTGATAAATCAAGGAGTGGTGAGAATCTATCTTTTGCACTTCTAGTTTCCGGCTGATTGTCCAGCTAATATCCACTTTCAATTTTATAAGTGATTTTGTTTTGAATTCTGTGTTTATTCAGACTCAATTAATTATCTTCAACTGTTCCGAAGGGTTCCACCTCAACTATAATGCTCAGTATCGATGGTATCAGGTGATTTCCTTTGCTATTTCAATGCATCTGATTAAAAGTACTAGGGTGCAGTTCGGCTTGGTGGGGCATTGTTGCTAATTCCCCTCGATCACACTGATACCTATTGTGAATATTTTTCCTGTACGACCATGCAATAGCAGGAGATTCAGTTACACTCGATAAGGGTCTACAGGTCTCACCATGCGTGACGTGTTATTCAACGGGAACCATCAAAAGGGGCTAGTGAGAGTGCGAAATCCCTCCCAAGCCGATCACCGAAGACGATGTGGGGGGGGGGTACAGTAATTGCGAGTTTCTGAATAGTTGAAGCTGCTATATACACCAAATAGAGCACATCCCAGACTATGAGGAAACTTGGCAACATCAAGGTCGACATATCATCAAATCACGCCCCAACAAGGATAGTCCTGAGCTCAAACTGATCGCGAGGTGAACCAGTAGAACCAGTAGGAAGGGTTCTCTCGAAGCGGAATGTACAGGAATTGATGCGAAA